TCAGTGTTTTAAACGCAGGGGCCGGGTCTAGGCCGGGGTGCCGGCAGGGCCGAGGTCAGGGTCCGGGCGGGGGGCCGGGGTGAGCCGTGCGCGGCGCCTGCCCGGAAGCCCGGCCTGCAGCCTGAGGGGCGGCCGGTCGCCCAGTGCCGCGGAGTTGCTCGCCCTCACCGGTCCCCAGGCCGCCTCTTACGGGAAGGCACCCGGCCTCTCAGGGAACATTCTCACTTCTTTCCCGCCTATCCGTGCATCTCTTTAGAGCACATCTAACATCCTGCCTGGCTGAGCTGTTTCTGTGCCGGTCTCCCTCTTCTGAGCCTGTTGATTCCTCTTCCTCTCGGTTACCCTGCAGCATGTAGCACGTGGAAGGCGCTCCGTAAATCCTGGCAGAATGGAATTATTCTTTTTATATTCTCCCTCCGCCCCCACCATGTTTCCCTCCACATTTTGGATGCTTAATAAATACTTGTGGGTGAATTTATTGCAGGTGGTGGTAGGGGGACCTGAAAGGAAAAACTGTAAAGAAGCAGTTTAGTATTTGTTGATAAAAGGCACAGCCTGCCTTCAATTGAGATAGGTTGTGCGTGAGACCTTTCTCCACTTCAGGCTGGTGAATTCCTCAAGGATAGAGGCCGGAGTTTATTTGTTAGCATCTCTCACGTGAGCTGTAATGGGTAAGGTACATAGAAATTGCACCACAAACATTCACTGTTGCATGGAATCTGTCAACGCTCCTGGTAACTCTCAGAATTGTCACCACAGGGGGTGGCAGCGCCCATTTCCGTGGTGCTCCTGAGGGCATGCTGGGGGTGGGGTGCTCTTTGGGGTTTAGGAGTCATGTTGAACTTGCAGGCTTCAGGGGCCCATGATCTCACTTGTTGTTGGTCCTCAAACTTTATTTCTCACTTTTTCAGCAGGTTTGGTGCCTTATCCCTCCTCAAACTCTGCTTTACTTGTTTCTGCCGTCTTAGCTTAGCTTATGATGTGTGCTCTCCTGGCATGCGTGCTTCTGTGTTTAAAACCCTGCTTATGCTTAAAAACTGTCTTTAATCTACTCACATCCCAAGGGGCTGTCTCCTCCCGCTAGCTAGTGCTGCACTTAGAGCCTGTCCTGGGCAGTGTTTGGGCAAGGGACCTTCTTTGTGGAGAGCCCAGTGGGAGCGGGGGTGCTGCGTCACCACCACCTGAAGTAGGCAGGTACCATCCTGTGACCCAGAGGGAGCAAGTAAGAGTTTGCATGGATGTGAGCATGGCCCATTACACTGTGGGTGCCAAAGCCTTATGCTCTTATTTTCTGTGTTAGTGTCGTCTGCCCCACCAAAATGCAGAGCCAGAGGAGGGAAGGGCAGGGAGTGTGCCTCCTCCTTGCGTGTGCTTGGTGTGGCGCTCAGCTTGGTGGCTGCTCAGTGACTACCTTGTGGTTGTTGGAGGGTGTCATGGGAAAGGAGAAGGAACATTCCAGCAGGAGTTGACTTTGTTGGCCAAGTAAACAGGTTGCATGGAATGAGCTACACGTTCCCAGTCAGAAAAGACTGGCCTGCTTTCCTTCCACAGACTTTTACTAATCTAACACCAAAATTAATTTCTTAACCTGTGTAAAGCGGAATACATTAATTGTCACCTACTTGATAAAGATGTTAATATGATTGACATATTGAAAAGCATTTTCAGGTAGTGGATGGAGAACCTCCTATGAAAATTCTTTACTGCACCTGCGCATTGTATTCAAGTTGCCATATCACTATTTTAGCTACCGTGAAACGAACTGCCTCTTTCATTAAGCTAAGCATTGATCCTGTGATATTAATGTCTCTTGTCACTTATAATTACTGCTCACAATTTTAACTGCTAGCATCCTGGGAAAAGCTTAACAGGGACATAGTAAAAAAGTTCCAGTAATATTAAATGCAGGAGAAAAACTATAACATGGCTCCAGTTTGGTGTGGAATGAAAAATTTTAGATCAAATAATAGCTAACTTGATGCAAATTAAATAGTTGTAGCTTGATTCCAGAGAAGGAAGCTGATGTTAGTGTGGGACTGTCTTTTTGTTGTTGTTGTTTTTAAAACGTTTCACAGTAATAAGTAAGCTTTATAGCTGACCTTGGACGCACACTTGTAGGCATACCTCTCCTTACTACATACCATGCAGCCTGATATTTTCTATTCTGTTTCATTTTTTAAAAAATGCTTGTTGCTGGTGGCCGGCCCGAGGCTGACTCGGGAGAGTGGTGCTGATAACACCAAGGCCACGGGTTCAGATCCCATGTAGGGATGGCTGATTAGCTCAGTGGGTGAGCGTGGTGCTGACAACACCAAGTCAAGGGTTAAGATCCCCTTACCGGTCATCTTTAAAAAAAAAAAATGCTTCCCATTATATTGATTTTACAGCAACCTACCACATTTTGAAAAACTCTGGTCTAGAGAACCCAGGACCCTGGCTCGGTGTGGGGGTGGGGAGGAGAGAAAGTCACCACCCTAAAAGTTGGTTTTAGGGCCGGCCTGGTGGCGCACTGGATAGTGCGCCTCTTGGGAAGCGCGGCGGCGCTCCCGCCCGAGGGTTCGGATCCCACATACAGACCGGTTCCCGCTCACTGGCTGAGCAAGGCGCGGGAGCGGCACCAAGGGTTGTGGTCCCGTTGCCGGTCCCGGTCTGGTGTGGGGGCGACACTGAGGGTTGCGATCCGTTGCCGGACACGGAAAAAGACACACACAAAAAAATAAAAGTTGGTTTTAGGGGTAATTAGGAGGTACAGGTTACGTGGGGGGATGGAGAGTGGGAAGAGAACAAAAGTGATGGGGTGCAGAGCCACCCCACTATCTTAAGTGAGTAATGACAGGTGGTCAGGAAGGAGAAAGTCCCTTCCAGAACTTCCAGTCTTAGAATTCCGGGCTGAGCAAATGTCCATCATCGGATGAGTGGATACGGAAAATGTGATATATTTACACAATTGAATACTACTCAGTTATAAAAACGAATGAAATACTGCCATTTGCAACAACATGGATGGACCTTGAGAGAATAATATTAAGTGAAACGAGTCAGGTAGAGAATAATATTAAGTGAAACGAGTCAGGCAGAGAAAAGGAAATACCACATGTTCTCACTTATTGGTGGGAGCTAAAAATAAACAAATTAATTCACTCACACACACACACAAAAAAACCGGGGAGGGCGGGGAGAAGAAGACATAACAACTACAATTTTTTGAAGTTGTTACAACAAGCAAATGGAAAGGACATTCTTGGGGGGGGGGGGGGAGAAGATATAACAACTACAATTTTTTGAAGTTGTTACAACAAGCAAACGGAAAGGACATTCTTGGGTGGGAGGGGGGAGAGGGAGGAGGGAGGGAGGTTTCGGTGATGGGGCATAATAATCAACCACATTGTATATTGACAAAATAAAAATTTAAAGGAAAAAAAAAAAAGAATGTGGCCATTGGAGCAAATGTACATTGAAATTTAGGGACAGGGGGAAAAAAAAGAAAGAAAGAAATTTGGGCTGAGAAATTCCTTTTTTTTCTTGAATCCATTCCCTCTACTATGCCTGAGTGACTTGTAAAATGCTGTTGTGGTTAGGTTCTTCCCTGCTTTAGAACCATTCTGGGACTCCTCGTGGTCCTTAGGCTAAGTTCATGTTCCCGAATGGCTTCGAAGGGTCTCTGGGTTGGGCCTCAGGCTCCTGCTGTCCCAAACTTCTTTTGATCTCTTTCACAGGACCCTCTTGGCCCTGGACCATGTGTGGACTGTTTCTTTTGTCTGGCATGTGCTTCCTAAGTGCCCGGCTCCCCCAACTCTCCTTCTGGGAAGCCTTCCCTGACTTCCCAAGTGTGGATTAGGTACCGATCCTGTGTGCTTCCTTAGCTACAGCACAGTGTTTGTAATCTTTATCTGTCTGTCCCCACAGCCAGACTGAGTTCTGTGAGGCCCAGGCTGTTTCTGCTTGGTACAATACCCCACATGTCGTGGATGTCAAATATTTGTTAAGTGAGGGATTCGAGTCCTGGGAGCGGGTTGATTCTGCCAGCTCCTGAGTGTGGGGTTCAGTGAATGAGATGTTTACAATGGCCTGTCTCTATCTTTTGAAGGTGATTAGAATGACTGGTTTCATGAAGGGCCTCTACACAGATGCCGAGATGAAGTCTGATAATGTTAAGGTAGGTTTGAGTGGGGGTTCCTCCTCTCCTGACCCTCACATTAATGAGTGGGGATTTTTAAATAGAAAGTGTACCGTAATGTGTATCATTTATATGCTGATATGGTTGGAATACTGTAGGGAAAGTGAAGGAAATGGTCAGGGCCCCTCAGATGTTCAGAATATTGCCAAGCATTTGCTGTAAATAGGCACGTGCACCCAGGTGTTCCTTGGTTCTTGTCTAATGTAATTGCACATGTGCACCCAGGTGTCCTGGGTTATAGACTTAAGTATAAAGGATGAGTGGCTCTGATCCACAGTGCCCCTCGCCCCTCAGATGCCCCCGGGGAGGTCGCTACTGCTGCTGTAGGCTGTTGCTGCCAGTGCCCCCGGGACCCTCAGCCACCGCCGCTATTGCTGAGGACTGAGCTCGTGTCATCTGCCAGTGGCTCCTGGGATTTTTCCCGATTACCTACTGTGGATCTGCATGTGAGGGGACTGGGGACCCTGTCTGTACAATGGATTTGAAGGGTCTGAACCCTAGCCCTGACATTGCAAATGGAAACTTAGTATGACTAAAATAATGAAACTTTTTGGCTTTAGTTATGAATTGCTTTAACAGTACAATTGGCTATGATGGCAGGAGTCCAATAACCCCAACCAAAAAATTAATGTAGCTATGGCCCTAACCCTATAAGTGGCGTAGTTGCATAGCTATTGCGTAGCAATACAAATACAAGGTCGATTAATTCATGAATTGATGTATACCCTTTCTCATTTCATTTTCTCACTTGTGGCAAGTGCATGTCATGCTGATTTTATCCTCTGAGAAAGGGAATTAGTATTTCAAAGGTTAATGCTAGGGCCGGCCCGTGGCTCACTCGGGAGAGTGTGGTGCTGATAACACCAAGGCCACGGGTTCGGATCCTATATAGGGATGGCCGGTTTGCTCACTGGCTGAGCGTGGTGCTGACAACACCAGGTCAAGGGTTTAGATCCCCTTACCGGTCATCTTTTTGGAAAAAAAAAAAAAAAAGGTTAATGCTAGCTAGCTTTAATGAATTGTTTTTGTTTTGTTATAAAAGGTCAGTATTTCTAAATGTCATACATTTAAAATAGCTTTTTATATAAATAGGAACTATCCTGTTCCTATTGAACATACTGAAGATAATGCAAACTCTTTGAAGTATTTTAATATTTGTATTTTAAATGGAAACATTTCAGGATAAAGATGCAAAAATTAGCTTCCTACAGAAGGCCATAGATGTGGTCATAATGGTTTCAGGAGAGCCCTTGTCAGCAAAACCAGCCCGAATTGTGGCCGGACATGAGCCTGAAAGAACAAACGAGCTGCTGCAGATCATTGGAAAATGCTGTCTCAACAAGGTAATGCTGCAGTAACAGGTGTTTTAAGCTTACCAGTATTGAGTAACAAAAGTGGAAAGTGAGTGACTTAAATGTAGTGGTGGGTGTTTGAGAAAGGAGTTTTGGTGTTGTCTGTTGAATGCTGTGCTTTGAACCTGATCTCAGCCATCCTGGAGCCTCACACTTAACAGGAGGAGTATTTTAAAACTGTATAATAAAACATACTGGTATGATAACTACAAGTTCTACAAGCTTCAGATATAAAACAGGGAACTTGACAAGTACTTGGTCTGGTGGCTGGAGGACGCATGACCAGACTTCTCAGCACTGCATCCCATCTCCTTTTGGGCCTCCTCTGAGGACAGGCAGCTCTTTCCAGCCAGGGCTTGAGGGGCTACAGGAGCTACTTTTCCTCTTCTGTGGGGCTTATTCATTGTATGTATATACCACGTCTTGCTTATCCATTAGTCTGTTGATGGACATGTGGGTTGCTTCTGCATTTTAGCTGTTGGGAGTAATGCTCCTGTGAACATGGGTGTACAGATATCTCTTCAAGGCTTTGTTTTCAATTCTTCTGGGTATGTACCCAGAAGGGAAATCACTGGGTCATATGGTAATTCTAGGTTTAATTTTTTGAGGAATCACCAGACTGTTTTACACAGCGGCTGCACCGTTTTACATTTCGACCAACAGTGTGCAAAGGTTCCAGTTTCTCCACATCCTTTCCAACACTTTTTTTTGGTAACAGCCATCCTAATGGGTGTGAGGTGATTAGATCATATGTTAAGATCCTGTTAGAAGGATAAGATATTTGTAGAGTTGTGTGGGTCAGCTTTACTGTCTTTGAATAACACACATGTCCACACTCGACAGCTTGGGTAGAGTTGAACCAGAATTCATGTAGCTTGGGTGGGATCTACTGTTATTGGACGAAGTGCTGAAAGTGATAGTTATCAAGAGATGCTGTGCTTTGTGTGTGGTATTAACATTTTCTTTTAATATTTCATCCTTTGAATTTCATTGGTAGACAAAGAATCTGTTTAACGAGCTGCCTTTGAATGCTGACATTCACATTTGTCACATGTGCTAATTTCATTCTACCGTGCATTTCATTTCCTTCCACTTGGACAACAAGCTCTCCAGTGATGATGCAGTGAAGAGAGTTTTAGCTGGAGAGAAGGGGGATGTGAAAGGAAGGGCCTCACTGACCTTGAAGTCTCAAGAATTGGATAATAAGAATGCTAGAGAAGAAGAGTCCAGAATTTGTAAAGATAAAGAGGTGAATTGCAATTTGCACGTCTTTGAAAATGATGTAGTGAGCCTTCTTATAGTTTAGATAAAAATGTTCATAAATGATACTATTCTTTGATTTTTTTTTAGGATAGAAGAAACTCTGAAATAAAAGAGAGAAGTACAAGCAGAGATCAAAAACATAAAGAAGAATTGAAAGAAGAAAGCAAACCTAAAGAAAAGGAAAGGGACAAGGAGAAGAGCAGGGAGAATGACAGAGACAGACATAAAGATCCAGAGAGAGACAAATATAGAGAAGGAGAAAGAGAAAAAACCAAAAACAGGGCCAAGCAAGAGAGAGAGAGGGACAAAGACAGAGGCAACAGAGAGCGGGACAAAGATGCAGACCGTGAGAAGGAGCGAGAGAGGAGGAGCGAGGGAGGAAAAGAGAAAGAGAGGTTGAGAGACAGGGACAGAGAGCGCGATCGAGACAAAGCGAGGGACAGGGACAGACGGAGAGTGAAGAACGGAGAGCACTCCAGGGACCCTGATAGGGAAAAGAGCAGAGAGCATGATAAACTAGAGAAAAAGGTAAAATCTTACCTGAAAACTCCCACCTTTGGTTTAGAAAGAGTTTTCTAAAATGAAACGGTTTTCTCTAAAATGATTTTTGTCTTACAATGTGATTAGGAAACTGGTTTTCTCTTATGCCAATTTAAAATTATGGCAATCTTGGATGCCCAGTAGAAACCCAAAGAGATGCAATTTCTTGCCAGATGTTTTTTGTTTATTTGTTTTTTATTTTGTCATCCCTTAATAGCAGGTTCTTGGTACTTATTAAGGCATTATTCAATAAGCTTTTAACAAGTCCTATTTTATACTCAGGAAGAATTCTACTGGAACATGAGCTCCATAAGCATATAAGCTGGATTTTTTATGTTTGCTGTTGAATTCCCAGCCTAGTAGAATTTCTGACATGTGGTCCATAATAAATATGGAATGAATTGAGAATCTGGGCAAGGAATGATGGACTTTTCAGATCTTGAAGCATTGGATAGAATTATTGATTGAGGTCTCTGTATGTGAAATGTTGATCTTTGAGTAGTGGAAGATCATTTGGAAAAGGAAGTCAGGAAAATATTAAATACTTGGTCTTTTTAGAGTTTAATGGTTCCCCATCAGGCATTTAGAGAAAACAACATTTTTCAGAGTTTGAGCTAATTAGCTGAAGTTGCCCTTGTCTTCATCTTGCCAGATGTTTTAAGATTTATTGCTTTTCACCTCTTCGTCCTTTGTGTATATTTGTATTTGGGTTTTGTTCTGAAGACTTTGGAGTAGCCTTACCTTAGCATTAATGGTGAGTGGTATTTACAAGCAATCTCAGTTGTATGTGTGCTGTCTTTTGAAGCATGGATATTACTGAGTTTATTAAGGATTAGAGCTACTTTCAAAGATTTTTAGGCATTAGCAGTTAAGTACAATAAGGCCTCAGTTTATTGTATTTTTTGTTTAATTAAATTTTCAGGTAAATTTAGGATTGGCTAGAAAATCCTTTTGGTTTCACACTGTGTTTTCTAAATGTGCAAGTTACTTTTGGACTCATATATGTTAGGGCCATTTTTCCAGATGCCCGTTCTTGTGGGAACATCTTATTGTAAAGTGTCCTGGGAAGGTGGAGAAATCACCTGGTCTCCAACTGCTGGAAAGGAGGAAGGAGAGGTCTGGAAAGGTTCAAGATCTGCCTAAGTGATGTGGCTGGGCAGTGAGGGGCAAGGCCCACACTGGCCCCCGTGGCAGTCCTCTTGTTTTGTGGCATCTTGGGGTGTGACTCCAGGGGAGGGCAGTGGGCTCTGTAGGACTGACCCTGCAAGAATCTGTAAACTGGTCTTTTCTGTGGAAGTCAGTACAACCCTCTTTGAGATCTGTGTCACAATAGGAAAGGGTGCCTATCCCAAAGACTGTTGTGGTCTTGTTAGTCATTGAGTCTTGTGCTCTACTGGGAACTTCGGGGTTTTCCTATCTAAAATACAACTTTTTTCCCTCTCCCATGCACATCCTGGAGTAATGTACACTGTGATGTGTCATAAAAACCTGGGTTTTCGGGCCGGCCCGGTGGCGCACTCGGTAGAGTGCGGCGCTTGGGAGTGCGCCGGCGCTCCCGCCGAGGGTTCGGATCCCATATAGAGACCGGTCCGCTCACTGGTTGAGCGCGGAGCGGGCGCAACATCAAGGGTTGCAATCCTGTTGCCGGTCGCAGTACGGACGCGACACTGAGGGTTGCGATCCCGTTACTGGTCACGAAAAAAGACAAAAAGGAAAAAAAAAACAAACCAAAAAAACCCCTGGGTTTTCTTGTACGTTTTGCAAATCACAAAGACACCTCCCATCTTTTGCCTTTTTTTTTTTTTTTTAAAGAGGTCTAAGAAAAAATATTTTTCACCGACCTGATTTTTCTGAGGTGCTAGCATATTCTGGTGTATTTTACTGTATGTGATGCAGCCCCTGAATGCAGCCTTCCCCTCCTGTCGAGGTCTTCAGACCAGGTGTTCCCATGTTATGGTCACTAAAATTGCTGATGATTTGACTAGTTTTTTAGAGAGAAAAACAATTCCAAAGAGAAATTTTTATAGGCTGATATTTGGGAACATATCAGAATCAAATGTTAATAATGGCTTTGTTTAAAAGTATTTGAGACCTCAATGTAGTGACTGTTTTTATACTCTAAGCTGGTACTTATTAAGTCAGATTTGTATAGAACTTTCACAGTGATTTCGCTTGTATGGCTCTGCTGCAAATCTGTGGGTTTCTTTATCCAGCCTGTGGATCTGGGGAGCAGCAGTGTTGTCTCCTCTGGTGAAAAGCGCTACGCAGGCGTGAGCTGCTGTGGGACTCCTCCCAAAGAACTTACCCCAGTTCCTAGCGACTTTTGTCAGGTCAGCTCTGGGGGTGCCATCCCCTCTCTGGGAGGTAGGACACTCAAAAGTTCCAACCTGGGCTCTGTCACAGACACTCTTTACACTGGTCAGATCCCATGCTCTTGCCCATTTGGTTTTTGTCTAGAAGAAAGGAGGAGGAGATGTTCTTAGCTGCTTCCTGGGCTTTCGTGAAGAAGAGGTCAAATGGATATGAAAACATACTGAACAGGCAAGAGTGTGTCACACTGAGGTGGTTAGGTTAGACTGGCCACCTGTGGGTCTGGAGCTCCTCTCCTAACCACCCCTCTCAGTGGGAGTAGCTGAGCCTGTGAAGATTCATGGTAGCATGTGTGAGGTGCCCGACCTGAGGTCATGGATAATTACTGCTGATACAAGCTGATACATTCATAATTAACTTATGAGGACATTTGATTGAAATATTGAACACGCATCCTTTGCTTTTTAGTCTTTATGGAGGAAAATCTCAATGACGATAATCTGTTCTACTCCTTATTGAGACGTGTCTTCTAGAGAATTGATTTAAGGTGTGAGATGGTGTTTCTTGTGGTGTTTCGTGTAGTTTATGAGAGTTCTTTCTTAAAGTCTTAATCCTTTGCTTAAGAAGAATCACTACATTCTAAAGTTACCCTATTATCAGAAGATACAAATAGGAGCAGTTTTTCCATGGGGGTTGGAGGTTTATAATGTTTGTTCCGTCCCTCTTTTCCAAATCCTCATGTTTAACTGGGGCATGTTTTCAAGAAGTTCGGCCTGGCATAGGGGTTTGGCATTCTATGTAGTTTCCTGAGAGACAGGAATGTTTGTTGTCCTTGCCCACCTATTCTGCCCTGTATGGGAAGAGATCTTGCCATTTCCTCAGAAGACTCTTTGGAAATCCAAGCAGAATAACAATAAATAATCAGATCTGGAGTGGTTATATGACTTTCTTATGGGAAGAATTGTCATGCCGTTGGTCAGTGTTATGTAAAATATCTTGATATGTTTTTAAATGTTATAGTTTTTTAGATGTTATAGATTTGAATAAGTCCAATGTTTAAAGAAAATTTTGTCTTATAGTCACCAAACTCAGGGGAGATGTCTAAGAAGTTGTTGGAAGGATCTTTGAAAGACTCCAAAGCTGAAACAGAGGTAAACCTTAAAAAATAATTTTAAGTGATATAAACTTGTTGTGTTGAGATAATAAATGCTGTGTCCTCTCCTGGTCACTGAGGTGTAGGAGGAGAGTGTGGTTTGGGTTTACACATAATAGGTTCATCTTTATTTTGTTGTATAAGTAATGACTTAAATGGTTTACCATATGATAAAATAGATGGGGTGTGTTTATTCTCGTGTTCTGTGGGGCACTGCTGGGTTGACTTATTTGACAAGTATGATGTGTGGAATATGAAGGGATTGGGCAGTCATTTGTGGGAGAGGGTGGATGTGGCACTCAGGATGAGTCTGGGAGAGGATTATGTCACCAGGCAGATGGGGAAAGGGAGGGCCAGCTAGAGAGACCGCTCCAAGCTCTGCTTGGCCTGTTTGGACCCTGCAATGTGCTCCCTATGGCTGGGGTACAGTCGGGGCCCATTGTCCCCACATAGGCCATCCTATGGAGGTTAGACTCATCCCAAGCAGCAGGGAGCCGCTGCTTTCATAACCTAATTTGAAATTTCAGAAAGTATTCAGGCAGCTGCAGGGAAGATGGATTAGGTGTGGAATAGAGACTGGGAGGCCAGTTAGGAGAGGTAGTGAGACTTGGACTGTGGTAACAGAGAGAGGGACAGTATGTGCTGTTTTCTTCAATTTGTGTTCCATTTAAACACAGTGTGTAAGTTTTTACCTCCGATGTTTACAAATGCATTTAATAATTAAGTGCACAGCAACTGAGGTTGAGTCCTCGTAAGCCATCTGATAAGACAGTATTTCTCAAAGTGTGGTCAGCAGATTGCTGACCCTTTTAGGGCTGTACAAAAAGATCATATTCTAAATTTAGGGTGAAAGGGGTTTTGGCTTCCTCATTCACATTCTGAGGTCTTGGGTGCTTAGTTGGATTGAGTTGGTATCAGATCCCCTCTGAAAGCACATGGATGCTATTGTTTTTCATGCTTATTCTTCCTCAAGCAGAGCTTGAGAAATAAGTTTGCTATTGGTATTGCTGTGTAATGCATCAGTTGAGTTTTTTTCATTCTCCTTTCTTTAAGGCTGAGATTTCTGCTAGAGCATCCAGGTCATTGATGACAAAAACATCAAAATGGCGATCCAAAAATTCAGTGGAAGGTACTGCAAAACTTATATCTAGCTGAAAATATGGATCTTAATTTCTTTGCCTTAATCACAATATCTAGTAGGAAAGAACTCCTGTTGCTGGAAAACAGATCTGCTGTGTCTTGGAATGAACGAAGACTGTGTGGGATCAATGAATATCTGTGGCTCTTACACACACATGCACATGTGCCATGAGCTCACAACACCAGGGGCAGAGTAGCCCCTCTTTGCTGGAGATCTCTGTTGGAATCTAAAAGGTGTGATCGAATTTTCATTTTCCAGGAATATTTATCAGTCATCCACATTGCATCAACTCTTGTCTTTTGCATTGGTAGGCTAAATTTAATTGTGATGTAGGCTGCACATAAAGAACATATAGACAGGTGATGTTTATGTGTTTAAAAAAGCAGAAATTATCATGAGTAATCATGATAAGACATGAAGCTTGCAGGCCTGGCCTGGGGTTTGCCCAAGAATAATACCTCGTTAGAACAGACTAGCAAATAGGACAAGAATGCCAGGCAAATGCAGGCAAGTCCTGTTGGAGGCCACTAGTGTTGGAGGCTGACTTTTAATTGAAGTATGAAGTTACTTTGAGTGAGCGGCAGTAGTTTCTGAACAATCATCCTTTTCCCAAACTGTAAGTTAAAGAACTGTGGCAAGAATGTAGTAGTTGGAATTTTTCATTTAAAAATGAAACTTAGACGGTAAATTGTACTCTTTCCCAGTAATAAGTGATGCTTTTATGAACATCTTTGTGCCAGAAGGCTTTACTCTCTTTTGGGTGACATTGGTGGGATAGGTTGCTGGAAGTGTGATCCACGGGTATGGAGGGAGTGGACGTTGTAAGGTTTTAGCTCCTGTGTGCCACTGACTGCGCCCTCTACCCCATACCTTCTCCAGTGTTTTCAAGGCTTGCTGATTTTGAGAGGTGAAAAATGAAAAATTTAAGTACTAGTGAAATTGAACATTTCATGTGTTTGTAGTTTTCACTGGCTTCTGTGATGTTTGTTCTTTAATTTGTCTGGTTCCTTATTGCCTCTGTTTGGAGTCTCTCCTTATTAATTTGCGTGTGCTCCCTGTACATTAAGGATGTCTGCCAATTTTTAAATGTTTGTTTTTTATATTTTTTTCAATCTGTTTTTACTAATTATGTTTGGCTTGGTTTCTGATTTGCCTGAGTGTTTAATTTTTATGTACTTGAAACAAAGCCGCTAATATTTTTTTTGGTAATTTGTCCAGAGATTTGAGAGATGAAGATTTATGTTTTATCATACCTTTTTATATTGACTCTTTTTAGTTATCACATTTTAGTTCAAGGTATATGAAGAGGCTCTGTGATGCCTTTTGTTGTCTGGGGTTTTTTATTTATTTTTTTTACTTTCACTGTTCTTTGTTTTACTACTAGTTTCTTATCGTTCTTTTCAAAAAGCTTTTAAGCTGTTTCGTTCATTTTGTTTGTTTATTCTTCCAGATGAATTTTAAAATCACTTCATGACTCAAAGAATCCCACCTCCCACAAATAAACAAACTTTTCAGGATTTAATTGGATTTATGTTAAACTTACGCTTTTGTTAGTTCGGGAAGATCGGAGACCTCTACTTTCAAGTCAGTAAACCTGTCTCCTGCTCTTTCAAGATGTGTGCACATGTGCTCAGTTGTGTCAGTCAAGGGGATTGCTCAATGGTTGCTTTTGTTTTTAGTTTTTTTTTTTTTTTGAAATGGTATCTTTTTTTCCCTCATCGTTAATGATTATTGTTGGTATGTACATGCTTTGTTGATTTTTGTAACTGCATCTTAAGTCTATCCTTGTTGCTGAATTTAATCCAGTAGTTCTTCCATTGATTCTTTTGAGTTTTCTAAGCAGACAGTCATATCACCTGCTGTTCTTTCCTAATCCCTCAGGATATTTGCTTCTGTGCTTACTGGTGAGCTTGTGCCATGGAGTTCTTTCCGTATGATCTTTAAGAGATTTTATTATCAGACATTAAGCTTCACTCATCTGTCAGCAACTTGGTGGACTCTTGCCTACTAGCCAGGCATGGATCTCACCATGGGTCCTCCCGCAGCAAAGCTGACACTCCACTCCAGTGTTCTACCTCACTGAAGTGGGTTGGCATTTGGGAAAATGCCCAGCACCTGAGATGCGTGAGACACAGGACTTCTGTGTCTGCTCAAGGGGATGAGCCTTGCATTTACTGCAGAGTGAGGGTATCGCATTTGTTAGATATACTTTGACTCTTAAAGCTGTTCTAGAATCCACATGGAATCCAAAAAACATTCTCCATAAGTATATGGTAATATTTGCTTATTAATTAGTCCATTATCGTAGAACTGATCACTTTGAATTAGTGAGTACATTTTAGTTTCATTTGTTTGATAACTATGCAGCATTATAAATTAAACTTAATACATATTTTCATTGTGCAATTTCATATCAGGAAGAAGGGGCTCTAGAACCAGTGAAAACAGTCTTTCCCCTGAAAAAGAACATAACTCTTACTACAGTAAAGCTAAGAAGGAACATACCGTGAAACGGCTCGGTAAGACTAAGCAAGCCATAGTGGAGGCTGCGAATGAATGTTTGTGAGTTTAGACATATTGCTGCCTGATCCTTTGCTTCTGTTTGACCACTGAACCAGTGGTGCTCTGTGGGTGTGGTCAGCAAAGGTGTGGCCTTACTTGACGTGGGCTCAAGTTGAGCACTGCTGTCTGGCCAGAGTGGAGAGGGGACAGAAGGGTATGTGGGCCCCACTGGTAAGAGCCACAGTGCTGCTCCCAGCCAGGTGAAGATTTCCTACTCTAAGTCAATCATGGGCTGAAATTGACCATTTGAGCCTTTCTTTATTCTGCGGACATTTATAATAATAAAGAGAACACGGTATATACATTCATGTTAGTTAACAATGGGCCTTTTTAAAGGGAAATGAAGCGAAGAGAGAAGCGGGGATGAGGGGTGTGGGCAGGGAGGGCCTCTCTGAGGGGACATCTGGACAGCATGCTGACTGGAGTGAGGGAGAACATGCAGGTGTCCAGAGACCCTGAGCAGACACCCCGAGCTGAGGGCAGGCCTGCCTGTGTGAGTGACAGGAAGCCTGGCTGGCAGGGCTAGGGTGGAGAGAGGGATGGTGATAGGAGGAGGGGCTAGGCCAGTAGACGGCATGTTTTACAGTATGTGTGGGCGGATGTCCTCGGAGGGTTTTAAGTAGGATGGAGGCAACAGTTGACTTATGTTTTAAAAGGACCCCCTAAAGCTATAGCAATAGTATTGCTAAGTATCTACGCCGGTTGTTGGGTTAGGTGATAGCTACGCTAATTGTCTGGCTGAGCATTTCATAACTAAAGCCATAAGTGTTTCATTATTTTAGTTATACTAAATTTCCATTTGTACTGTCAGGGTTAGGGCTCAGACCCTTCAAACCTATTGTACAGACTGGGTCACCAGACCCCTTACATGTAGGTCCACACTAGGTAATTGGGAAAGACCCCGGGAGCCACCGGCAGACGACATGAGCTCAGTCCACAACAGTAGCAGCAGCAGGAGCAGCAATGGCAGTGGTCTCTTGGGGCATACCAAGGGCACTGGCAGCACCTCCACCCAGGTGGCCCACCTCTGCCTCCGGGGGCACCTGGATGGTAGGGGGCCCTGTGGATCAGAGCCATTCAGCCTTTATACTTAAGTCCATAACCCAGGACACCTGGGTGCACATGCGCAATTACATTAGACAATAACCAAGGAACACCTGGGCACACGTGCATGTTTACATCAAATGCTCAGCAAGATTCTGAACATCTGAGGGGCTCTGATCATTTTCCTATGTTTTCCCAACAACCCCCTTTTAAAACCATAGAGGGGCAGAGAGGCTGGAGAGCAGTGATGAGGTTGCTGTGGCCTAGAGATGGTGATAGCTTGGACCGGAGTGCCAGTGGTGAGAGTGGATTGGGTTTGGGGTATACTTGCTAGTAGACATGACAACTGTGCTAATGGAATAAATGTCACTTGTTAGAAAGGAGAGGAAATCAAAGATAAGACCCATTTCAAGAGGGGTCTGGGCACCTAGACAGTGGTGTTTATTGAAATGGAAGGTTTTGGGAAATGCTGGTCAGTGGAATGGGTGGCATTGTCAGGAGTGCTGTTTTGGATGCATCAGTGCGAGGTGTCTGTGCGGCAGCCAAGTAGGGGTGTCGAGTAGGCAGCTGGATGTGTAGACTTGGAGAGGAGGCAGAGAGCTGGAGAAAGTGAAGGTAAAAACAAAAGATTGAGAGTTCTTAGCACACAGGTGACATTTACAGCTGTGGACCTTCATGGGATAATTAATGCAGGGGTGTGTGTAGGTAAAGGGGTGTAGTGAGCTCCAGAGCCTGTCAAGTTTTGCAGGTTAGAGAGGGGGGAGGAGGAGAATTTGGGAAAGGAAACAAGGGCAGCAAGTTGGAAGGAAATTTGGAGAAGGGGGTATCCTGAAGGCTGAGGGAAGGCGGTACTGGCGAAGGAGAGAAGGGCTTCTTGTCAAGCTCTCCCGAGAGGAGAGTCCCGTGGAGGCTGAGAATTGGCCAGTAAGTTGACACAACAGTTTGTTGGTGACCTTGGAATAAACTCCCTATAAATCCCAACTAAAGCAACCGAACAGAAAAACCTTTCCAATATTTTAATCTGTTGTTAACTATTTTATGTCAGGAAGGAAGAAGGATAATATTTCAGCTAAAATTTTAGACCCCATAGTGTCTGGATTAAATAATGAGCCAGAACAGGAAACTACAGCTTCAGAAATAGGTAAGAAAAATATATTCCTTAGTTTAAATTCCTCACCACTTTGATATGAAATGCAAAGTATTTACATCTTAGCGTAGTTATAAATTATTTTTTTATTATTCTAACCACCTTGGTGTTTATCAACTTTTTTCACCATTTACTGAAGATCAGCAATTTTATTTGCTTTAATTTGCTAAGTTATGTGATAACTTTGTTAAGTTAGTTTTAAGTTAACCTTTATGTGCCTTTTTATGTGTAACTTATTTTTACATTTAAGTCAAAATGCTTTCTTAACCTTGGTATTGGAATTTTACAAAATGATGTGAATGATTACTTAGAGGAGTTATTTTTTATATCCTGGTCTGCTTTGTTCTTTTAAGAAAATGCTCCACAGTAAAGACTTTTATTGTGCGTGCTTACGGCACATTGGGGAAGTTGTCTGGTTGCTTACCGAGTTTCATTTAAGGTTGGCAATGTGTTGTGAACGAGTCCTCATCCTGCTGACACCTAGGAGTAATCCTGGATTTAGTATCAGTAACTACATCTACTGTGACTTCAGGCTAAATTCTTCAAAAATATTAGAATTCTTGAGTTGTATTTAAGGAAAAAAGTGGTGTAAATTTTGACTGTAGGAGAAGATGAAATTTTTTCAGGGCTCAACTTGCCTCTTGTCCATCTGATTTTTTAAAATTCTAAAACTAGCGGGCCGGCCCGGTGGTGCACTCGGTAGAGTGCGGTGCTTGGGAGTGCAGCGGCTCTCCCGCCGAGGGTTCGGATCCCATATAGAGACCGGTCCGCTCACTGGTTGAGCGCGGTGCGGATGCGACACCGAGGGTTGCGATCCCGTTACCTGTCACGAAAAAAGGCAAAAAGGAAAAAAAAAATTCTAAAACTAGCGGGCCGGCCCGGTGGTGCACTCGGTAGAGTGCGGTGCTTGGGAGTGCAGCGGCTCTCCCGCCGAGGGTTCGGATCCCATATGGGGACCGGTCCGCTCACTGGTTGAGCGCGGTGCGGATGCGACACCGAGGGTTGCGATCCCGTTACCTGTCACGAAAAAAGGCAAAAAGGAAAAAAAAAATTCTAAAACTAGCTAGAATAGTGATAATCACATCTTTCTATACATGTGTGTTCCCCTTCAGAACTCACATTTCTAAGAGGAGGTATGTTTGTAAGTGTTGTTACTCCATCATTGGTACAGCAGGTACTGTGTAAAACTTGGAATTTTATTCCAGGTAGGACAGCTGTATGTGATTTATCTAGCTCTTCACTAGTATGGGATGACCGAATAAAAGTTTACTAAACTGCACAGAATGATTTCTTTCTGATGAAAACTCTTTTCACTGTGGGCATGCTTGTTATAATTCAACCACATGTTGGGAGAGTGTATTTCGTTTTTGCGGGAGCTTTTCTCATCCACGGGCTCCTGTTGGGGGAAATGCCCAAGTGTACTCCAGTCCTGTACTGCAGTAGAGGAGCAGATGATGGTGAAAGCGTGAGGGTGGAGACTGCTGGCAGCCCCTGCCCGTGTAGCTAGGACCCAGAATCTGAGACAGTGTGACCTCTTCTGCTGTGCTGCTGACCTGCTTCATGGCCTTGAGCATACTGCATGGGTGGGTTCTCCGAGCCACAGTTATCTCATTGTAAATGAGAATAAAAATACCTGCCTTGGAGTGAATGAGATGGATGTCCATAAAGTGGCTGCTACTCAGTGGTGTGTGTTACCCACAAGTCTGCTTTATTACAGATTACTGCAGTGTAACTGACAAGCCCACATTAGGGTGAGACCAAGCTCCTTTTGAGATGGTACAGTGGATTTAAAATAACTTGGAATTGTTCTTTAGACATATGTTGAGCACTTTGTAGATATTATCTACAAGTTTGAAAATAATATAAGCTTAGTCACTAAGTAGTACAACTGCGAACTGTTTCTCAGCTGGGCTGTTTGCAGAGATTAGAATGAAACCTAAAGCCACCTGGTGGGGTGAGCAGAATCTCCTGATCTCACGCTGTCCCTGGGTGGTGGTGGGGTTTGGAATAGTGGCCGTGAGCAGAGCTGGTGCTCTGGAGCATCCCCGGCCCCTCCTTCTCCCCCATACTCTGCTCCCCTGGAGTCCTGCCTCTGTACAAGCCTTGGGTCCCCCCATCGTGGTCACAAGTGTTGTCTTGCACTGGTAGTCATTTAACTTTTGGAGTTCTGAGTTTGCCAGCAGTTGTTATAGCTCCTTGATTTCTTCCATTAAGTGTGATTTCCAGATCCACTGCTGTTGGGTCTGCTTAATGAGCCTTTGCTCACAATTACCTTTCATTCTTAGTGCTTCAAAGAAAAGTCACGTTTTCAAAGAAAGCTGGCCCATACTGTGTCTGCTGCCCAGGGCCTGAGTGGCACTGTTTTCTCATCATAAGAGAATTTGTGGGTTTTGTTATCATTTTGCTTTTGCAGGTGGATTGGAGAGTTTACCAATGAATCTATCCATTTTTTTCTTCCTCCTAAACACGAATGATTTTTTTCCTGCAGTCCATATTCTAATACAAGCTGTATCACATGCCTTGTTCTCTTTCAGTTGTTTAACAGCTCCTGGTTTTTCTACAATATTAAGTTGTATCTTTATTTTGCTTAGTTTGCCTCATTTCGTTTTTGTTTTATGGTTTAAACTATTTTATTGTAAAAAAATCCAGAAAAATAGGAAGAATAGTGCAATTAACACCCATATACCTCTCATCTAAACTCAGTAGTTCTAACATTTTGCCATATTTGCTTCATCTATGGTTGTACATTTTTATGAACTATTTCAAAGTATGTTAACAAACATCCTAAACACCTTATTTCTAAATACTTCAGCATGCAGCTAAAAAAAAATATTCTTTTACATTAAAATTAAAAATTATTGTCATGGGGCTGGCCCGGTGGCGTCGTATAACTTCGTATAATGTATGCTATACGAAGTTATGCATGCTTATTCTTCCTCAAGCAGAGCTTGAGAAATAAGTTTGCTATTGGTATTGCTGTGTAATGCATCAGTTGAGTTTTTTTCATTCTCCTTTCTTTAAGGCTGAGATTTCTGCTAGAGCATCCAGGTCATTGATGACAAAAACATCAAAATGGCGATCCAAAAATTCAGTGGAAGGTACTGCAAAACTTATATCTAGCTGAAAATATGGATCTTAATTTCTTTGCCTTAATCACAATATCTAGTAGGAAAGAACTCCTGTTGCTGGAAAACAGATCTGCTGTGTCTTGGAATGAACGAAGACTGTGTGGGATCAATGAATATCTGTGGCTCTTACACACACATGCACATGTGCCATGAGCTCACAACACCAGGGGCAGAGTAGCCCCTCTTTGCTGGAGATCTCTGTTGGAATCTAAAAGGTGTGATCGAATTTTCATTTTCCAGGAATATTTATCAGTCATCCACATTGCATCAACTCTTGTCTTTTGCATTGGTAGGCTAAATTTAATTCCGAGGGTTGCGATCCCGTTACCAGTCACGAAAAAAGACAAAAAGGAAAAAAAAAATTATTGTCATAAAATAGTGTCTCGAAATTATTGTCTCACTGAACAGAATTATTTCCCAGTAGCATCTGAAATCCAGGCTGTATTCTGATTGTCCAAAAAAAGTTTTTTATTTTTCAAAAACACTGGTTATTTGATCACATTTAAACTTAGATATATTCAGCGATTCAGTGCAGCTAAAATTTGCACAGAACACTGGCAGAATGACAGACTGCTTGCAGTTGTATTTTGGGCTCTCCATCTGATTAATGAGTTTCAGTAGTAGTAACTGATACAAAATGGCTCTTGGCAGCCAGGCACAGTACAACTTGCTTTATACACATGATCTCATCTGCCTCTTAGGGTAACTGCATGAGGGAGGGCAATCTGGCTTAGGAAGGTGAGGGACCTGCTCCAAGCGTAGTGCTTGATGAATGCAAGCACTTGTGCTGGAACTGAGGAAGTCTTGACAACAGGGCTCACACCGTTACCTATGAGGCTTGGTGGTTACCAGGTGGTTCCAGACAACAGATAGAGCTCTAATGCATTGGGGTTTTTTTGCCAGTTCATAGTAATTTTAATGTTTTATAAGTGCATTGTTTACTTTTGAAAGCAATTATTTGACACACTGATTAATCTGCCCTCTGTGATTAAGAATTGATTATAGTATTGGTGAATATATCATTTGTTTCATGCTCTATTTGCGTGAACTTGGGGTTTAGTAAAGCTTACTTAATGCCACTAAAGCTTTGAGAAGATAAAACTGCAAAGTGTCACTGGTCTTGAACTACCAAAAAAAGATAATGCATTTGTAACTGACATATCATGATGGTGGGTTTTTTTTTTTTTTTTTGTCTTTTGTCTTTTTCCGTGTCCGGCAACGGATCGCAACCCTCAGTGTTGCCCCCGTACCAGACCGGGCACCGGCAACGGGATCGCAACCCTCGGGGTCGCTCCCACGCCTCACTCAGCCAGTGAGCGGGAACCGGTCTGTATGTGGGATCCGAACCCTCGGGCGGGAGCGCCGCTGCACTTCCCAAGCGGCGCACTTATCCAGTGCGCCACCGGGCCGGCCCCGTGATGGTGGGTTTTGTAGAGTATAAAAAATGTTTGATACTTTCAAATCAAATATAACAACTTAAAATTATTAGGGTGTTTTCTTCTAAAATTGGTAATTTGCCAAGCTTATATTTATTTTAGGGTTTTTTTTTTTAGAATGTAATATTTCATGTTGATTCTTTGGCTGCCCTCTATAAAATATCATAATAAACTACTTGAATCAGACTGTTTTAAGTCAACATAATTTTTTATGGATTGAAAATAGTTTTCTTAAAAAATGAGTCATCTATTTTATATAGTTCTATTACATAAATAAGGCAATTCTTTGATAGCTAATGACAGGTTGATTCTGATGTCAAATATTTCTTTAAATAGTTTTAAGAAATTGTAAGATCATGGTTCAGGAAAAAGAACATTTTTCCAACTTTATTGTTGTCTCCTTGTTTCTTTTTAGAGAGTGGTGGGGGCCTTTGATGATGGGTTAGTTTTCCAGCTCTGGGTCTTGCCATAATTCAAAACCTGTTCCTCTAGCACATCCTCTGCCCTTTTTGTTTATAATAGGGAAATATTTTATTTCTCGGGTATTTGAACATTTTTTCTATTTTCATGAACTTTGGAACATCAGTAATCAGTAGACAAGTATTTGAGAGTTTTCTGTATGTCTAGGACTGTGCACTATGTCAAAAATATTTTTCTTTCCTTCCTGCTTTCCTGAAATAGCCACCTGCTTGCTCCTGGGCATGGCTGTCATGGGGAGGAGGGTGGAGACTGGTAGTGGCAGGGCATTCTAGAAACGGGAAGCGACAGGGCCAGTTTCCTTTGGCTGGAGGCCCATTCACCATCTGGGGGGCCCTTTCCCAGAACCACATGTGGGGGAGGTACATTCCAGAGGTGTGTTTTGAAAAGCTGCCTTTGGTCAATACTTGGTAAACACTCCAAATCCTTGGAGTGTGGGAGAACATAGATAAGTAAGTGCACCATGTTGATGAAGCTGTTGGTCACCAGCCCTTCAGTGCACAGTCTTAATGATCAATTTTAAACTGTTTTATGTCAGGAACAAAAGAAGCTAATACTTACTCAACCAGTATTTCACATGATAATTCCACTAGTCTGTGGCATGAGAATACTGAGCCATACCCAGCAGCGAAGCAGAAAGGTAAGAACGATCCTTCTCCCACCCTTCCTGGTGAGGGGAGGTGGAGCACTGAGTGGCGCTCACTGCCGGGCACTTGCTGCTCACAGGGACGCAGCCTGGAGCTGGAGCTACCCCTCCCGCGCCCCTGGTCCGAACATGGCAAATGAGTCACTTCTGCTTCTTGTATAAGCTAGAATTGAGCAAGGCTGTTGCTTGGTAATGTGAGGCTCACTCCTGTGTTTGCAGTGTGCTTTCTGAGTAAGATAAAGTGGCATCATTCGTGACTCGGGGGGTGTCATCAACGGTCCCAGAAAGCAGTTTTCCCTGAAAGCCCACCCAAGAAGTGCACCACCCGGATTTCACATCTAAAGGGGACTTTCTTTTTTAAAAAAATTTTTAAATTTACTTATGTATTAATATTATATTTTTACATTCTAAGATGTTGTGGAGAAGTTGGGGGGAGGGGAAGAGGAGAAGGGGAAAGGAAATAGGGTGGGAAGAGTAGGAAGGAGGCAGGGCTTGGTCGAGGCCTGTAGCTCCCCCCTCATTCTGGCTGCAGAGACCAGGGGGGTTCTGGTGGCAGCTTGGTGGTCACCACTAGGCTGGGTGTAGTCATTGGGGGGTGTGTGGCTGAGGTCCCCCTGGCCTTTCTCCCTCCCTGGCTTGGGAGCTCAGGGTGCTTCCAGTCCTTCTAGGTTTTATAGGTGTTCTTTGGTGGTGTTAGACTTTTACTAGCTAATGTCAGATGTTGATCTGTGGATATTTTGTTTTTTCTTTCATTTCTGTGTTGGATTATTTGCTGTTCTCACCACTTAAACTCTGCACTGGAACTAATTTGCTGTCCTTTGCTTACTTCAAAAATGGGAGAACTTCCTGTGGGGACCAGCACATGAGCTCTGTGGTTGAGCTAAATTGCTGCTTTGCTGCCGATGCCCTGGGGAAGGCTTTTTGTGCAGCTCAGGTTTTAACTGTATGTACTTCCAGGTCTTGTGAGGTCTGGTGCACCTGGGTTGTGTGGAAACTCTGGTCTGGGCCTGAGTCATTTCAGTAAACTGCTCCCCCTGCGGTTCTATATTCCTGACCAGTCTCCACTGAGTAGTCCTGCGCTGGTTGGGGGGCAGATCAGCTGTCCATGCTGTGTCCCAGTGTTCCCCCGGTGGGCCAGTCTCCCCCACTGCCTGCACTCCAAACACTTCCCATGGGACAGGCCATGTGCACTGGTCCCTTGCAGTGACTCACTGGCCTCTGAGTGGCTCCTCTTTTCAGTTGTTGGGGCTCCTTGCTCCTACATGGGTCCATGGGAACCCTATTAGTGGTCTTGCTGGGGGCTGCCAAGGTTCTCTTCTCCACTGCAGCCTCCAAGCAACTTCATATGAAAGGCACAGCTGTGGCTTTTGCCAGCTTTTTCTCCATGTGCTCACCAGGGCCAGCCTTGAAATGGCTGGGGCTTGAAATGGTGGGAGTGGTCCCTTCTTTCTCTCATCATGACTTTTCCTGCCTTCATGAACTCTGTAGGTCTCTCTTCCTCTTCCGCTGGGCTCTAGCGGCCCCAGCTTGGCTGTCATTGCTTTCTAATAGGTGTAAATTGGTTGATTTGTGGGAGAGAGTGACACTGGGGACCGTCTATTCTGCCATCTTGACTGGAAGCCTACAGGGGACTTTAAAACAGCTCAAAATGTTGTTACTACCACAATTTTCTATCTATAATATTCTTTCAGTGTCTTAAGTTGTTTATCAGTGAGATTGTGCTTTCAGCAAACTTTCTGGTAGAATATACATTCAGTTTTTAAGGCCCTGGAGCTCCTAACAGGCTCGCAGGGGTGCTGGCACCTCATGGAACCTGGGTTTGTGCAGGTGGCAGTGGCTGGGCCAGGGTGGAGTGTGGTCAGATGAAGGCTGATGTTAGTCATTCAGAGAATGTCTGTGGAAGGCCTACTCTGTGTCAGACCCTGAGGCAGAGAGTGCATTAGTGAGGGAAGTCGGACCGGCTTCCTGCCTTCCGGGTGTGTGTGCACAAGATCAGATGAGGCTGCAAAGATAAAATGAATCTGTTTAGCAAGAGGTACCAAAGGCAGTCTGAGGTGGAGGGGATTTTGGGTGACCTGGGGAGAGTGACGGTGGCTAGGAAGAGCTTGCTGGGCAGAAGGAACTGCATATAGGAAGATCCAGGGTGGGAAGTGTTCAGCAGACCGTCTGGCTTGGCCTAGTGGAAGCGTCCAGAGCTTGGGGGAGTGGAGAGAGCCAGCTGGTTCCTGCCAGGCCTCTCGTGGCCATGTCAGGGAGTTTAGCCTTCTCGTAAGAGCAGTGGGAGGGCAGTATTTTTAGGAGTGGCATGATCATATTTAGATTTTAAAAAGAGCATCCTTGTGAATTTGGGAGGCTTAAAGAGTAGTTCAGGGAAGAGGAGAGAGTGTCCTGGGTCATGGTGGAGTGAATGGGGTGGGAGAGATGGCACTGTCAGGGCTGCTTACTCTGAGGGGAAGCTAGAGGACTGGAGAGAAAATTCAAGAGTTGATGGCATATGGGTGGTAGTGGGAGCTTGGGTGGGGTTGGGGTCACCTGGGATGAGGCAGGAGAAGGCTGGAGTGTTGGCCCATGAAGCAGGGGAGAGGGCGCCTCAGGAGGGAAGGAGTCAGCTGGAGGAGAGTGCCTGGGGCCCCGGGGGATGGGGATGGGAATGTCCATTGGGTTAGGGATCCAGTCTGTGATAGGCAGACGGTCCACTGTGCTTGTTACTGAACGGACTTCGTTGGCACTCAGAGGATTGGAGGGTCAGGTATTTTATTATGCCACTGGGCCCAGACAAGCTAATGCTTGAAAATCTGGACCCCGATGTCAGGTTTCACAAAGCTTTTATAGTGGACTCTTTCAGGGTTTTTACGTTTCTTTTTGTCAGTATTGCTAGGCTAGTATATGTGGTCTGGGCAGATAAGTGAGCTAGGTTACAGAAGCCAAAAATGCAAGTAGTGATTAGAGGCGAGATTAGTGTAACAAGCAAATGTTATTTCAAAGACAAAATATTACTTCAAAGACAAAACAGACTTATGAGAAAATTATTTTGGCATTTTCCCAACATGCTCCCTTCACCTGGGTGTCGGCCTTATGATTTAAGTAAACTTTGAGTGCCATGTGAACCCACAGTCTGTCCCCAGCACCTTGATGGTATGAATTTTGAAGAAAGAGCTGGGGGTTTGGAGTCAAGGGACCTGGGTCTGCTTCTTGGCTCCAGGTTGCACAGTGACTCTTGGTGTTGGTTTCCACTAAGCACGCTCTCCAGGCCACACAGCATTGAGCAGAGAGAGGAGGGTCTGCTGCTGCCTGTTCCTGAGCCTTGGCAGCCCCATCCCAGGGTTGGGCTGAGCCCCCACCCCCGCTGCCCCAAAGCACCATCCAGGGTCTCTGGATGAAACTGCTGAGTGCAGCTGCTCAGGCCGTGGCCCTTCAGGCCAGCGTTTCTTGTTTTCTCATCATCCTTCCATCTGGACCACATTCTCCAGACCCCCTAATCATTGCCCCCTTAGCTGCCAGCCCTATCCTCTGTGCTGTGTCACTTTGTGGTATGACCTCTCGAGGCTCCTGGGCCCATACAAATAGAGTCCTTTCGGGCCTCCAGTTTGCCTTGCCCCATGAGCCACCCTCTTGCAGGGCGGCATGTGTGGAGCTCTCTGACTGTGGTGGTCACAGAAAGTCCTCCTGTTAGGGGACAGACTAGAGGTGCTGAGGAGAGCTTTTCACTCGTGTTTGCAGGTGGATCCTCCCCATCTGGGGGTGGGACCTGATTAGGGCTGATCCCAGTCGCCTCTCCCTAGTAGTGTCCTCGGCTCTCCTGTGAATCCGTGTCGTTTTGTTTCTTCTGCAAATTCATTCATGCATTTCAGAGTATGACACAAAGATTATCCAACTACAGCTCTGAATCCACCCCACCCCCATGGTGCTACTGCTCATTTACTTGTGACTGCTTAGGTCACATTTGTCCCCCAAACACAGCACTCAAAGGAGGAGGACCCGGGTGAAAGTGCAAAGGTAGGCCTGTGTTGAGGTGGGACGCTTCTTCTCCTTATTTAGGAATTGATGGAAAAATACTTACTGATGAGTCCTGTCAGATGGGCTGCTGTTTAGTTCCACCCAAAGTCTTGGAAATGGCCTGGAAGTTTGCTTTGCTGGGTTCAGAACTGTCGAGTGGTCCCCCTGTATTGGGATGCAGTTTTTCTGTGGCTTCCCAGATTGTCAACTTCTGTCTTGTGCATTTGTTTAATTTATCTCTGTGTACACTTTCTTCACACCACTGTTTCCGGTTTTTATGTAATAGCATTTTGTGATTCATAGTTTTGTTTGTTTGTTCTTTGTCTTTCTGTCTTGGAAAATAAAATAGCAGTAGGATACTAAAAATGAGGCTTTGAGGAAATGACCGTTTTTTCCTAATAAACATCCAAAATTATTTATGATGTGTTTTCTCTCTCTCCTTTTTTTTTTTTTTTTTGGAGCCCAGCCGCACCGCGCTCAGGCAGTGAGTGCACCGGCCATCCCTATATGGGAACCGAACCCGCGGCGGGAGCGTCGCTGCACTCCCAGCGCCGCACTCTCCTGAGTGCGCCACGGGCTCGGCCCCATGATGTGTTTTCTCTCTCTCCTTTTTTTTTTTTTTTTTGGAGCCCAGCCGCACCGCGCTCAGCCAGTGAGTGCACCGGCCATCCCTATATGGGAACCGAACCCGCGGCGGGAGCGTCGCTGCACTCCCAGTGCCGCACTCTCCTGAGTGCGCCACGGGCTCGGCCCCATGATGTGTTTTCTCTAATTCTATTCTGATCATGTAATATATTGAAGTTTACTAAGACAAAAATTAATTTTCTGATGTGTTTTTTTTTTTTTTTTTTAAAGGTGACTCCACCAGCGATGCAGGTAAGGAATGGCCTTAAATAAATATGTTTGATATAAATCGTGTATGTACACAGATATGAGTATGTGTTCTCAGATTTATGTTTTACAGATTGCAAGAGTGTGAGTAATTTATTTTAAGGAAACATATCTTAACTACATTAATTTAAGACTTTATGTGTTTTAAGCTCAAAAGAATGCATATCAGGATTTTTTCCAGAGTATAAAATATATTTCCACTATTTAAATTCTGATTTATTTTTACTATTTTCTGAATTTCTTTAAGTAGTGGAGTCAGTTTAATTGTCTTAATAGTTTGGGCTTGTTGTTTACTGGTTAAATCTTTTTATCAAAATGAAGAAAACTTCGTTCAGATTATAAAAACAATATGGTACATACCCAACATAGAAGATTTCAAAAATGCAGAAAAATATGAAGAAAATATAAAAAAGCACTGGTAATCCCACTGCTCATAACTTAAATGAATATCTGTCTAGAACCCCATATATATACATAATTATTAGATATGTTACTTTACTATATTCTTAATTATATTAAAATGATGACATTGTTTTACACAAAAGGGTCTAGCATGTGACTGTATCATCATTAGTTACCTGTTGTCTGTCACTGTTATCAATGGTGATGGGTGAATATCTTGAAACATGTATGACAGAGGACTTCAAAAAGTTCATGGAGGGCTGGCCGGTGAGCTCAGTTGGTTAGAATGTGGTGTTATAACACCAAGGTCAAGGGTTTGGATCCCTGAACTGGCCAGCCACAAAAATGGAAAGATTTATATTATCTTTTAATTCTGTTTGTCCACAAACTGTCTGAAATCTTCATATTTACATTTGTTCCTTTTTTTTCTTGGATTGTATTTCCTCTGTTAAATTAATGAGATGATTGACCTACTTTTTGAGTTTTATTTCTTGAGCAGTTGGAGTAGTTTGCATTTCCAGGGTTTGAATGTATCCATTTCCCCAAATCTTCACCAAATTTAGATATCAGACATCTGTTTTATCTTCATAAAAATGTTGAAAAAATAGCTCATTTATATTTGCAATTATTTGATTGCTGTCTTTTCAAATATTTATTAGTTGTTTGTGCTTCTTCCTTTGTGAATTGCTGATTGCATTACTATCCATTTAGAAGGAGAAGTTGGACCTGCTGGCCAAGATAAGTCTGAGGTGTCAGAGAATTCAGAAATCCCTAATGAGCTTTCATCCAGTCTCAGGTCTGTGTGCTTTTGATCCCATGACCTTGGAAGAGTGCTCAAACCTAGGACACTGCTGTGATGTTTCTCTCTATCTCTGTACCTTTTGCTGTTCATGTAATGCTTGAGCTAAATTATGAGGAATTTTTGTATAAAGAAAGCAAAAACTATTTGTATAATTTTCTTGTACCTGAGTGAGGTATAAGAACTGTACGTAGAACATTTTAGGGATTTAGGGGAATTCATAATTATGGCTAAGTTATGTCATATTTTGATTAGTAATAGTTATATAATTTTTTTTTTTTTCGGCTACCTTGAAATTACTGAAAATATAAGGTTAAAACACGGGTGCTTTTTAACTCATCAGGTTATTGGAATGTTCTTATTGTTCTGCTGAGTATGTCCTAAGTAGCATGTTGATGACGGCCTGGAAGTTACTGTTAACATTAACCTGGGTTCTCTTTTGTCCACCTTGAAATGTAAGATGTTTCATATTTCTTTTTTGGTTTTCCAATATTTGGGTTTAGAAGAATACCTAGGCCTGGGAGTGCAAGACCAGCGCCTCCCCGGGTCAAACGGCAAGAGAGTGTGGAAGTGTTGACAGTGGACAGGTAAGGTTGGCCATGCTGGGATGGCCCGGGTGTGGGGGCTTAGGGGCTGACGAGTGTTGGTGCCTGTGCTGAGAGAGACGGGGCAGGAGATGCCGCAGGCGGAGTTGGGAAAACTTGCTTTTGAGGAAAAGAAAAAGGAGGGCAAGCCCTCATCTGAGCCCACAGACAGACAAACATGTCAGGTGAATGTGAGAGAATATATACATGCATATAAAATTAAATCTTAAACTATATGGGGAAATGTTGGGCTGTATTTCTCTGATCTCTAGATAGAAGACTTTCTAACTATAAAAACAATGAGAAAAAATATAAAAAAGATTTAAAGGCTTAATCGCAAAAAAATTAAAAATAAAAGGTTGTCAAAAAGTCATCAGTAATATAAAGACAAATAACAGGCTGGATCAGAGTGGGTTTTAGATAGAATAAGAGGCAGGGATTAGAAGCATAAAGGGTCAATATGTCTCTCCAGGAGTTTTGCTGCAAAGGGAAGCAAAAGAATGAGAAAGTGCTTGGTGGGAAAGGAAGCGTCAAGGGAGGTTAATTATTTTTTGTTTTTAAGGTAGGAGAAATGTCACATTTTTTTCATTGTGGGAGCGATGTCTGAGCCGCTGGGTGGTGGTGGGGATTGGTGAAGCAGAGTCCCTGAGTGGGTGAGGGGACACGGAGGGGACGGTGGAGAGCTGGCATGTGGGTGCAGATTCTGGAAGGCGAATTCTCTCTGGGGCTCCATTTTCCTGTGAATCGAGAGTGAGTCTGGGGAAGAGGAGCGGGAGGTCGGAGGAGAGTGGAGGTGGTGTGCAGTGCTATGCACAGGAGCAGGGAGCGAGTAGACCTGAACAGAGGTTTCATCTAGGTGTTCCCCCACCCCGGATGTTAGGAACATCAGGCCACGTCTGGAAATAGTTTTTAGTATCATGACTAGAGAGGGTCTGGAGAAGAGAAGGTTGTTGGCATCTAGTTGGAGGGCTGGGGCCAGGGTTGCCCAGGACAGCCTCTACTGCAAAGGATGACCCGGCCACATGTCCCTGGCCCTGAGGTGGAGGACCTGGCCTAGGGAAGTAGAGTTTGACGGCTGGGCAGCATCAGGGCGTAGATAGGCCTCGTTTTCCAGCACTGTCAGCTGCACACGTGCAGGTCCTGGGTGGCACGGTGCTGCATTAAACAGGGTTGGGGTTGTGCCCAGCAAGTACTCCAGAGAGAGAAGGGAAGGGAGTTGGGAGTGTGCGATGACCCATGATGGGATTTATGCCAGTAAGGAGAGGAGATGAGGCCTCTGGGGTGAAGGGCCATGACGAGGCAGTGGGGTTAAGAAGCCAGAGGTGCTGGTGGGGTTGAAGGATTGTTGGGTCCTGGGGCATGGGGTGGAAAGATGGGGGTGGTGGTCAAAGAGCTGGTGCTTGGATTTGCAGTTAGGGGCTTGCTATTAGTAGTGGTGGTGGGGTTGAGGGCAAGGGAGCTGACAACCTGAGATTCACAGTGGGTGGTGTTTATGGAGGATGATTGAGAATCCACAGTAAGCACAAGGAGACCATGGAGCCCCCATGTTCAGGGGCTGCAGGAGAGTAGAGTCTTCAGGGGAGGGCAGGCAGCTGGTAGAAGTAAAGGAGAGGGTGGGCCGGCCCGGTGGCGTACTGCTACAGTGCGCCGCTTGGGAAGTGCGGCGGCGCTCCCGCCGAGGGTTCGGATCCCACATACAGACAGGTTCCTGCTCACTGGCTGAGCGAGGCGCGGGAGCAACGCCGAGGGTTGCGATCCCGTTGCTGGTCCCGGTCCGGTACGGGGGCGACACTGAGGGTTGCGATCCATTGCCGGACACGGAAAAAGAAAAAAAAAAAAAAAAAAGAAGTAAAGAAGAGGGTGAGGTTGGAGAGGGGGCCCTGGTGGGGGATATGGACCAAGATAGGGGTGTGCAGAGATGGTTTCCCATGGTTACTGACATAAGCAGGGGTGGAGGACAAGGTGAGGTTGCTCCTGGTGGTGCCAGAAGATCGTTGAGGGTCTGAGGGGCCCCTGTTGATGGAGTTGAGGGTGTTTGGAAGAAGTAGGTATTATTGCAAGAGCTCATTCCCAAGTGCAGGAGCTCCCACTTGACCTCGTGCATTGCACTGAAGCCAGGGTGAGGTTTGGGGTGTGTGAGAGAGAGAGAGAAAGTGTGTGTGTGTGTGTACATATGTACATACGTGCACATGTGCCACAGGGTGCTAGTGGGGCATGGGAGTTAAGGGTCTGGTTGTAGCATGATCGTGTTAGGTTGCTTAGGGAGGAAATGAGGCGGGAGGGGCTGACAGGGAGCCCGGGGAGCAGTGGGAGTGATACCTCAGCAGAGAGAAGCTGACAGAGGTCTGGGGAGGGGAGACTGTAAGTGGACCCGGAAGGCACGAGGGAGCCCTTGGATGGGGATGGTCACCAGGGAGGACAGGGTCAGGGGCTGGTGGGCCTGCTATGGGATGTTGACTCACCCAGAATAACAGCAGGACCTGGTGGGGAGAAGCTTGCATGTTGCATGCTGGGTGGGACACAGGACGGCAGCAACATTCAGGACCCAGCTGTGGGACCTTGAGGAGCCTGCTGTGTGAGGAGGAGAGGTTGGGGCAGCCCTGGCCAGTGGGGCCGCCAGGACCACCCCTGCCTGAGGGTTGCCTTGCTACTCAGGAGAACAGGCCCCTGCAGGCAGAGGGCAGCAGGTGGTGGGGGAAGCGGGGAGGCTCCTAGGGCCTTTGTTCTGCAGGGCCTAGCGAGGCTGGGGGGCAGGGGAGGCTGGCGTGGACCAGGAGGTCTGGCCAGCATTGGGGAGGGGAACTGGCCGGGCTGGGGTCGTGGGTGCAGAGCAAGGCTCTCGGGGACCCAGGCCTGGTGGGCTTCCCTACACAGTTTGTGTCAGCTTGAGCAACGTGTATTTTGTGATGTTGTCGTAGAGGTAGTTAGTGGTTAAATTCCTCTTCGATTACCTGTGGCACAGTTCCAGATGCACGGGAGTGACAAAAACTTTTGCCTGACAGAACATCTCTAATTTAATCAAATTTCTTTTTATTTAGGGCAGGGAGTGGTAAAACCGTCTCAAATGTGATTGTAGATTCACAGAATTCTGACAATGACGAGGATAATCAGTTTGTGGTGGAAGCTGCCCCTCAGCTCTCTGAAATGTCAGAAATTGAAATGGTTAGTTAACCTTTAATAACTATATTTTATCTACTTTGGAATTAATATTCTACCTTATAGATTTATGTAGACAAAATTTTCCCCTAATTTTTCAGTTAGTTTTATTCCTACTTTAATTTGATCATTCCTTTTCTGAGATCCACAAAAGCATGATTTTGAGAATTCAACTAACCTGAATCTTTTTTTCCCCCCTTTCCTACTCAGGTACCAGCTGTGGACTTAGAAGAGGAAGAGAAGCATGGTGAGGCCTGCATGCGGGCGGCGTGCGTCTTGCATGTGTGTGTCATGTGCGTTCATGTGAGCAGGTGTATGTGTCATGTGTGCGGACAGGTGGGCAGGTGTGTGTGTCGTGTGCATGGGCAGGAGGGCGGGCTTGTGTGTCATGTGTGGGTGTGTGTGTCGTGTGTGGGCATGTGTCGTGTACATGCGCAGGCAGGCAGGCTGGTGTGCACGTCATGTGCGTGTGCCTCCTCTGCATGTGCTTGAGAGAACCTAATGCAGGTGGCTGTGGTGTGTCAGGTTCTGTCAGGTGTCAGATCAGCAGGACACAGGACACTGCTGGCCTGGACTCCCTCTGCATTGATAGTGTCTATGTGAGGAGGTGGCTGGTGCTACCACCTGTCCTGAGGCCGGGGAGGGCACCCCAGGACACTGGAGATCAGCTGTGAGCTGTTGTTCAGGCAACTTCTTTTCTTATCTGTACAATTAGATTGTGGAAGGGGCTGATCTCTGCAGTCCTTCCCAAGTCTACAGTTTTGTAATGTTATTTGTTCTCTTCCCAAGTGCAATATTTTCTTCTATTTCAAACATGTATGAAGTGGAGAGAATCGTCTAGTGGGCTCCTCTGCGCCCCTCACACAGCTTCAGCGGTGATCAGCTGGTCTCGTTTTAGCTAAGCCTGCATCTGCTATAATCCCTACTCTCCCCAGACTATTTTCAAATCCCAGAGAACATCATCTCATCTGTAATGTGTTATACGTGTCTCCAAACGATAAGGGCTCTTTTTAAAAAACAGAAAAAACCCCAAAACCGAACCCCCCCCCAAACCCATAATTCCATTGTTGTATATAAAAGAATTTAATAATCCTTAAAATCATCAAATTGCCTAATATCAGTTTTTCCAGTTATCTTGTGTATTTTTTCTGGTTTGTTTGAGTCAGGATCCAAGTAAAATCCCTGCATTGTGGGTGATAGGTCTAACTCTGCCTCTCTCTTACTCTGTGGCCCCTTTCCCCTGGCAGCATATTTAGTGGAGAAACTAGGTGGGTTGTCCTTTAGAGTTTCTCGCAGTGGGGTGTTGCTTGCTTGTTACCCCCTGTGTTGTTTTACTATATTATTCTTTTCCCTAAGTATCCTGCAAATTGTTCTAAGGGAAATCAGATTCAGGTTCTTTTGGCAAAAATACATCATAGGTGGCACTGGTTCTTTGTAATGTCTGGGTGACTCTCTGCTTGTGATGTTGGCCTAGATCTGCTTTGTCATTAAGAGTTGCAGTATGGTGACGTTGTTGCAGTGAGTTACTGTGAACTTGCAGGGAGAGGCAGGAAACACTGAAGCTTAAGACAGTAAACGGAGTTTATTGATATGCCGGCATTGTCTCAGTGGACTATAGTCACAAAGGCTGAGCCCCGAACACAGCGGGGCTGTTATTTTTATATTATAGAATTTCTGGGGTTTTGTAATAAGGCAAGGGGGCTGATCTTATGATTTTATGTGGTTATGACTTTGTCTTAGGGTGGAAAATTACCGCAAGTGAAGCAGAAGGGAAAGTTCTGTTACAGCAGTGTGTGTTAACCTCAGGGTAAAACAAGGCCCAGCTGCAGCTGGGTCTGTATGACATTGGGTGAAGGTCTCGGTTACAGCTTAGCAGGGCACAGCTGGGCAAACATGAGAGCTAACAGGCGTAGCTGGGCGAGACACAGCCGGGTACATACGTATGAGTTCCTTGACGGTGGCATCTCATACTCCCTTCCTCATGTTCAAGATGGAGAACTTCGTAGTGCACCCCCTCCCCCAGCTGGGGTTTGACTACCCCAAGGCACAGCCCCTACAGAAGAGGCAGGCTGAATGCTTGGTACTTTTTCTTTCTTGATCTAGTTTCATAGCAGTGACTTTGTTTTTTGTCACCTATCAAAGATGACTAATGAGGGCTTTTTGTTTTGTGGGGTTTTTTTGGTATGTTATGAAGTCACGGATTTTTAACATATTTGGCATGTTCCATTGCAGTTAATCTGTGTTGGACCGTTATTTGACCAGGGGGAGCCTATTTAAGTTTTCTTCTGGGGGCCTTTTGACACATCCCAGTAAATTTTGGGGCTTCTTGTTTTTTGATTGGACAAGTTGTTTCAGGACCATTTTGTATATTTCCTGTCCTGTATCTGCCCGTTTCTCCCAGGGGCCTGGCTGCTTGTTGCTTCAGGGTTGGTCCTTGTTTCTAAGCATTTTCACTGTACAGAGCACGGATATGCATTTTTTTATATAAGAAAATGTGTCCTGAGTTCATACTGATATTTCCAATTCAGGTTTAGGATTATGGATTTTGTCTGCATTCTTTGATTTTGTACATGCATCTCTTCTATCTCATGCCCAAAATCCTGGCTCCCAGCACCATGAGCTGTCTGTGTGCTTTATCCTGCAGTATGCACACACAGCAACTTTAGAACGTCACCAGCAGTTATTAGCAACAGTGGGATTACTGAAAACACTCTAGGATTGATTTTGTAGGTCTGTTTGTCTTTTTGTTTTTAGAGTATATCACATTAGGGATGTACAATCAATTGCTTTGTTTTGAAGTTATGAAATTCTCCATTAGCGTATGCTTGCTAATCTGATATTTAAAAAATTTTTTTTTTGGCTTTATATTTTTAGGTATTAATGTTTTAAATTTTTTTATTTTTGTAAAATATTCATATGGTTTTAAGGTCAAATGTACAAAACAGGGTATATTTAGAGATGTGGGGCTTTGATCCCAGTCTCCTCCATCCTATCCTCTCCTTCTCCCAAAGGTAACAGTGAAAAACATGGCTTATACTCCATTTTTATTTTTTTTATTTTTTTATTTTTTGTCTTTTTTGTCTTTTGTCCGTGTCCGGCAACGGATCGCAACTCTCAGTGTTGCCCCCGTACCGGACCGGGGACTGGCAACGGGATTGCAAGCCTCGGCGTTGCTCCCGCGCCTCGCTCAGCCAGTGAGCGGGAGCCGGTCTGTATGTGGGATCCGAACCCTCGGACGGGAGCGCCGCCGCGCTTCCCAAGCGGCGCACTATCCAGTGCGCCACCGGGCCGGCCCTTATACTCCATTTTTAAAAATATAAGTAAATGCATGTGTGGTATTTATCAGTACTTACACTTGTCTCCATCTTTTTTTTTTTTTTTTTTTTTTTTAACGTGACAGTATATCCTGACATTCCTTGCATAGCAGTCTAGAGAAATTGTCTTCAATCCTCTGCATAGCCGCATGGTCCTCCACCATGTGGATGTGCCATGATTTATTCATTCTGTCTCATCTTGATGCATGCTTGGGTAAAACACAGTATTTTACAAAAACAATTTTCATATATTTACCCCGTGGGTAATTCTGAAAGAAATTAAATACTCTTGCTCCAAGATAAAAGAAATGTTAGTACTTAGAAGCAAATCAGAATTGTGATATATGTTTATAATAGACAGTTGTGTTTTTGGATGTTAATATACATTTCTTCTTAATCTTTGGAAATAGAAAAGAAAATCTATTAGTTTTTTTTACCTTTTGAGCAGCTGATTTTCTCGTTAACACTGAAATTTTATGGTTAATTCCCACCATCAGCTGTTGTATCAATCCATTGTAGACCATCTTTTATCAAGTAAAGATTATTTGAAATTGTTTTTAGTACAAGAAGAGATAATATAAAAACAGTATTTTTCCCACCCTTCAACCCACTTAGGATAGTTTCCTGGGGCAGAGAATAACCTTTAACATAAAACCACTGATTTTCAACAGGCGGACTTGTGAAAAAGATCTTGGAGACTAAGAAAGATTATGAGAAATTGCAGCAGTCATCTAAACCCGGAGAGAAGGTAATGGAACGATTTCTGTAAAAATTGGCATTTTAGCAGTCTGTTTCGCACATGCTCTTAAAAATTAGGAGCATCTTTCAAATGTTATGGTTATCAGTTATATCTGTTTACGTATTTCAATGCTATTCCTCGTGTCCCCAGTTGGGAGGATAGACCATGTGGGCGATTTCTGTGAGGCTGCTTGCCTGGACTGGCATCCAGCCCTGTCCTGGGTGGGGCAGCAGCTTGCTAGGGCAGCTCAGAAGCCAGGAGCCAAAGTCCTCTTCTCCTGCACTGTGTGAGTCTCTTCTCCAGCCTCGCCTGTCCTCTTCCCAGGCCCTACTTGTAGACAGTGAAGGTTGGCTGCCTGGCCCTGACTTATTGTAAAATAAGAGGCTGGGGAAGTCTGGCTTTTAAATATGTGTTTTATTTATACTTGGCTCCTAGTGGTCTTCCATACAGATGTGTGATGTGGTTTGATGGGGACCCACAGGCTCCCACCAGCCACTGCCCTTTCCCTGGCCATGTGACCATTGGGGTGAGCACCTACAGGCTAGGTGGTGTGTCTCAAATGACCCAACTAGGTTACTCTCACAGTCGCTTTCAACAGTAAGAATAAATATTTTTTTTTTTTTTTTTAACGGAAGGTCTCTTGGATAGTTAGCTTTATCAGCCAACAGTTCCAGAAACTTTTATATATGGGAATGCACGCACATGCACATTTTTCCCCAGTTGAATTATTTGTTTTAAATAATTCTGCTTAAATTGCCGCTCGTCTGTCCTGAAGATACTGTCTGGAATAGCCAATTGGAGCTGTACAACCGAGACTACCAGTAGAGGGAGCGTTTTTTCATAGCATCCACTAGAGGGGGCTGTCGTCGGCGTGGTCCGAGCACCACCGAGCTCCTCTGAGAGGAGAGATGCCTTTCTGCGGTCTGTTGTCTATTGCTGTGGAATTTTAATAGGTCGTGGTCCTCATATGCATGAGGGGTTGTCCTGGGGTCCCTGGGGATGTTTCTGAGATCCAGTTGAAAACCTTGAGTGTGTCCCTCCAGGCTGTTAGTGTAGGTAACCTTCGAAGTGTCCATTGATTTAAATTTTATAGCTATGTTTTTTATGCAAAGCATACTCGACTGTTTCAGAGTTTCCTCTGAAGAGTAAATTTCAGATTGGTAAATTTTTTTTACTTTGGAAGATAAAAGAAAAGAATGTCCTTGTTTGGTGAACACACTGCTTTGAAAAAGTGCAGTTACAGCTTCAAAGTCAGGAGTAACATGTATTACATTTGGGTAGGGAAAAATTAGCGTCTCTGCTGTTTTCTTTAAGGTATCGAGAAACATAAGATTAAATTTGACTTGATGGTCTTCTACAAACTTTTTAATATGATTTTTTAAAATAAAAGAGATTGGGCCGGCCCGGTGGCGCACTGGATAGTGCGCCGCTTGGGAAGCGCGGCGGCTCTCCCGCCCGAGGGTTCGGATCCCACATACAGACCAGTTCCCGCTCACTGGCTGAGCGAGGCGCGGGAGCAACGCCGAGGGTTGCGATCCCGTTGCCGGTCCCCGGTCCGGTACGGGGGCAACACTGAGGGTTGCAATCCGTTGCCGGACACGGAAAAAAGACAAAAATAAATAAATAAATAAATAAAATAAAAGAGATAAAAATGTACAGGAAAAGTTGAAGTACTTTTCGTGCCTGCCCCAGTCCTGCTGTCCTGAGGGCAACCACTAAGATAGATTCAGTGCATATCCCTACTTTTACATGTATGTAGTGTTGTTTTGTGACTTTTTAATGTTACCCTATGGTTACATTATGCAGGTTGCTCTCTTCAGACAGTGTGTTTCTGGGACTCCCTGTTTTGATACCTGTAGATCTAGTTCATTCATTTTAACTGAAGACTCATTCCATTATTTTTTTTTTATTAACTCCTTTATTGATGGACATTTAGGTTTTTTTTTTTCACCATTTGCTATTATAAACAAGGTTTCTACAGGGTCCTTTCCATGTCTTCTGGTGTGCAAGAGGCAGTGTCTCTTTGAGCAGGAATCAGCAAAATTTTTATGTGAAGGGCCAGATAGTAAATATTTCAGGCTTTTTGAGCCATGTGGTCTCTGTTGCAGCTACTCAGCTCTGCTGATGTAGCAGGAAAGCAGCCATAGCATAGACAGTATAAACGCATGTGTGTGGCTGCACTCCATAAAACTTTATTTACAAAAACAGGATCCAGCCTGGGGGCTACAGCTTGCCAAACCTGCCTTCAGAGGCTGTGCCCAGGCTTAGAGTTGCTGCACCAGGGCGTACACAGATCTTTAGTTTCATCAGATTTGCTATTTTATTCCTCAAAGTGGCCATGCTAATTTACTCTCCCGGTGGAGTAAAAAGTGTCTTTTTCCCATACATCTGTGCCAACTGGTCAGGAGAGCGAACACACAGTGTCCTGTGCCTGCCGTAATCCCATCCTTCCACCTCTCTCTGTGCTTCCCCGCCCCACATGCTTTATACCCCAGTGCCCACTGATCTGCTCTGTCACTATGCTTCAGTTTGCATTTCCTAGAATGGTGTGTAAATGGAATCATATAATGTGTACTCTCTCTTGCTGTCCTTTTTTTTTTTTTTTTTTTAAGTTTGGCTTCTTTTACTCAGCATAATTATTTTGAGACTTATCCATGTTGTGGCATGTATCAGCAGTTCATTCCTTTTCATTGCTGAGTGGTAGTCCATTGTATGTATGTACAACAATGTGTTTATCCATGTATCTGTTAATGAACATTTGAATTGTTTCTAATTTGGACTATAACACATAAATCTGCTATGAACATTCATGTAGAAGTCTTTCTGTGAACAAGTGCTTTCATTCCCTTGGGTAAATACCTGGGAGTGGGACTGCTGAGTCACATGGTAAATATATGTTTAACTTTTTAAGAAACTGCCAAACTGTTTTCCAAAGTGGTTGTATGTTTCACATACCTACCAGCAGTGTGTAAGAGTTCCCGTTTCTCCACATCCTGGTCAACACTTGGTATGGTCAGCTTTTTAATTTTTCATGGTTGTAATTTGCATTTCTTTAATGGCTGATGATGTTGAATATCTTTTCATGTGCCTATTTGCCATCTTTATATCTTCCTTGGTAGTGTACAAGTTTTCTTGTACATCTTAAAAATTAGGTTGCATGTTTCTTATTGAATTCTGAGTGTTCTTTATATAATCTGGGTATAAGTCCTTTATCAGATAATGATTTGCAGATATTTTCTGACAGTTGTGGCTTGTCTTTTCTTTCACTTAACAGTGTCTTTCAAAGAGTAGAAATTTTAAATTTTAATGCAGTCAAATTTATCAACTTGTTCTTTTATGGATTGTACTTTTGGTGTTGTATCTAAGAAATCTTTGCCCAACACTCAATCACAAAGGTTTTCTCATAAGTTTTCTTCTAGAGATTTTATAGTTCTAGGTTTTACATTTTATATTAATTTTTGTATAGAGTGTGAGATATGGCTCAACGTTTATTTATTTTTTCATATGTTTTCCAAATATTCCAGCATAATTTGTTGAATTGCCCTACTAGAATATTTTTTGTCAATCAGATGGGGGTGAGATTGTATCTTTGTTTCCTTAACAACAGCTCACATATATTGCCTACTTCCTCTGCTAAGTGCCTGTGTTTATTACTTTTGTCCTCACAACAACCCTTTGACATAGGAACAGAGTGAAAATCCTTTATACAGAACTCTTGGCTTCCAGATGGATCTTAGAAACATAATGTGGTGCATACACCATGTACTGTCTATAAAGCCCCAGTGAGGTCAGAGGCATTCAAATGTGCTCGTATTTCTACAGCAAAATGGATTAAGAGACCACACCAAGTGAGTGGATATGATGCTAGAAATAACCTCAATGAGTTTCAGCACAAATTTATGAACAATCTTTGCATTGTCAGAGCATGGGATTTTTGGAATTGATCATCACAGTTTCCCCGCGGGTGTAGTTTGTTCACATCATTGCCCATTTTTCTTTCATGGTGTTTTTCTTTTTGTTATTGGTTTGTATGTGTATATGTTATATATAATGTTTATATTATATATAATGTGTATGGTATGTGATATATAATGGAATCTAATTTTGTAATTTATAAAACTTTCCTATTCTGATATAAAATTTAATCAGCTTTTTTCTTTGTATATTGTTTTTGATCTTGTCTAAAAAAAATCTGTCATCCTGGTTATGAAGGTGGTCTCAATAGTTTTAATAATTTCAGTTTTCTTTTTCACATTTAGGTCTCTAATCAGTCTGGAATTTTTGTTTTACGTTGTGAGGTAGAGGTCCGATGCTCCCCTCTCCCCTGCCTCACAGGTAATGCCGCCTCTCCAGTGAACCCAGATCTCCTGCACGCTTGGGTGTATTTCTGCCCTCTCTGTTGTGTTCCTCCTCGCCAAGTACTGTACTTTTATGTTGGGAAAGACTTGCTAATTGTTCCCTTCCTCTCCTCTCCCACTCTATATTAAATCTTCATGGTTTCATATAAATTTTAGAATAGTTTGTGTGGTTCCATGAAAAATCTTCTTGTGATTTTGATCAGAATTGTATTAATCTTGACTTTACCTCTAACTCTTGATCCATTGCCTTGCCTCCCTTTGTAGCAAAACTACTCAAAAGAATTGCATATATGTGCCATCTGCAGTTCACCTCTTCTCATTCTCTCTTTAGCCCATTCCTGGGAGGCCTTTGACCCCACTCTTTCATCCAACTGGCCCTTGTCAAGGTCACCTGCCCTCCCAGTTGTTAAATCTGGTCCTCTTCTGGCTTGAAAGCATCAGCAGCATTTGATGCAGTTGGCCATTCCCTCCTTAATATGCTGCTTCTTTTGGTTTCTGGGACAGGGTATTCCTCTGGTACCCCTCCTGCATGCTGGTCCTCCTTCTCTGTGTCCCTTGCTAGATCCTCCTTTTCTCACTGTTTTCTTAGTATTGGAGTCTTAATGTTGTTAGCTTTTCAGTTCTCAAACTAATTTTTTTTTAACCAAGTCA